CCTTCTAGCTACAAGGTCCCTAACTGTAGCAAGGCCTACATGTACATCTGCTTGAACTCAGGCAATAATTGCACCAACTTTACATTAACAGATAGAAGGAATGGTACAAATTGCCACTTAAACCTCTACCATATTGAAAAAATGACATAAATCCACCAAGTGAAGTCCCTTACTGGCCCATAAAGTCTTTAATAGTACCGTCTTCTTGCAAAGGTGAAAAAAGTCTTGCTAATAACTACATTTACTTGCTTTTATATATAATTAACCATTGTACAAAATTAATATTGAGTCAAAGATGAGACGCTAAGACTGCTATTAAAGGAGACCAAGGTCACGGGGTGGCAAGTTTTAAGCAGCATCTTGATGGAAGAAAGACTAAATGAAGAGATATTTGAATTGAGGGAGAGAATTCCAGAGCTGAAACCGTAAACAGCTGAAGGCATAGCCACCTATGATCAGGCAAAGAATGTGGAAGGTGCATAGGAGGTCAGAACCGGAGCAACATGTAGTTCTCAAAGGGTTGAAAAGCCACAGAAAGAAACAGAAAGGGGAAAGGACAAGAGCATGAAGATAATTAAAGACAGGTATGAAAATTTTAAATCTGTGACATCTGTCAATCATAAGCCAATGTAAGTCAGAGAGCACAGGGTATTGGATGAGATTTTAATATCGTGCTGCTTTGCACTAAATTGAATCTTTACAAGCCATTCAATGATGAAATGTGGAAATTCAAAGATCTATGCCACTTTTCTCAGTCCAAAATGATCGACTGTTTAGTTTATTTATTCTTTCATAGGAATAGGGCATTGCTGGGAGGGTGAGCATTTACTGTCCATTCCTAATTGCCCTTGAAGTGAATGGCTTACTGGGCGATTTCAAAGGAATTTAAAGAGGCAACTGCATTGCTGTGAGTTTGGAGTCATGTGCAGGTTGGCCAGGTAAGTACAGCAAATTAGGTGTGGAGCTGGATGAACACAGCAGGCCAGGCAACATCAGAGGAGCAGGAAAGCTGATGTTTCGGGTCTAGACCCTTCTTCAGAAATGGGGGAGGGGAAGGGGGCTCTGAAATAAATAGAAAGAGGGGGAGGCGGTGATAGAAGATGGATAGTGGAGCAGACAGGTGGGAGAGAAGACAGATAAGGAAAAGAGGCGGGATGAAGCTAGTAAGGGTGAGTGTAGGTAGGGAGTTGGGATGGGGGTTGGTCAGTGAGGAGGGAGGGGCAGGTAGGTGGGAGGGAAGACAGACAGGTCAAGGAGGCAGGGATGAGGTTCGTAGAGGTGAGTGTAGATAGGAAGTGGGGATGGGGGTTGGTCAGTGAGGAGGGAGGGGCGGTTAGGTGGGAGGGAAGATGGACAGGTCAAGGAGGCAGGGTCGAGAATGGGGGCTGATCTTGGGATGAGGTTGGGGGTGGAGAGATTTTGAAGCGCATAAAGTCCACATTGAGACTATTGGGTTGTAGGCTCCCAAGGCGGAATTTGAGGTGCTGTTCCTCCAGTTTTTGGGTGGCATTGTTGTGACACTGGAGGAGGCCCAGGATGGACATGTCTTCCAGGGAGTGGTAGGGGGAGTTGACTGGGAGGTGTTGTCATTTGTTGCGAACCGAGCGTAGGTGCTCCACAAAGCAGTCGCCAAGTCTCCGCTTGGTCTCCCTGATGTACAGGAGGCCACATCGGGAACAGCAGACACAATAGACCACATTAGCAGATGTGCAGGTGAACATCTATTTAATGTGGAAGGTTTTCTTGAGGCCTGGAATGGAGGTGAGGGGGGAGGTGTAGGGGCAGGTGTAGCACTTCCTATTGTTGCAGGGAAAAGTGCCAGGGGTGGTGGGGCTAGTGGGGAGTGTGGAGTGGACGAGGGAGTCGCGGAGAGAGCGGTCCCTCTGGAAGGCAGCGGTCCCTCTGGAAGGCAGATAAGGGTGGGGACTGAAATTTATAAACCCTACAACCCAATAGTCTCAATGTGGACTTTACGAGCTTCAAAATCTCCCCACTCCCAACCTCATCCCAAGATCAGCCCCCATTCTCGGCCCCGCCTCCTTGACCTGTCCATCTTCCCTCCCACCTACCCGCCCCTCCCTCCTCACTGACCAACCCCCATCCCAACTCCCTACCTACACTCACCTTTACTAGCTTCATCCTCGCCTACTTGACCTGTCCGTCTTCTCTCCCACCTATCCGCTCCACTATCCACCTTCTATCACCGCCTCCCCCCTCTCTATTTATTTAAGAGCCCTCTTCCCCTCCCCCATTTCTGAAGAAGGGTCTAGACCCGAAACGTCAGCTTTCCTGCTCCTCTGATGCTGCCTGGCCTGCTGTGTTCATCCAGCTCCACACCTTGTTATCTCAGACTCCAGCATCGGCAGTTCCTACTATCACTAAGGACAGCAAATTGTCTTCCGTAAACCAGATGGGATGACAATTGTCATTGTCACCATCTCTAAAACTTGTTCTATGCTTCCGAGTTATCTTGATCAAACTTAAGTTCCATCAGTGGCTGTGTTGGAATTATCCTTAAGTTATGCAACAAACCCCACTCCCCATCCCTGGCTTCTAGATTTATCTAAGGCAAAAAGAACCTTTCTGAATCTTAAAACTTCATACTTAAAAAGGCAAGCAAGCAATGTAAACAACGTTTGGACAATTAAGAAAATTTAACAACCATTGAATCCTTCTAACATCGTCCTAGATAATGTTAGGTTGCTTTGCCTTATTTAAAAAAAACTGTCATTTTATGAAGCAACACTATGAATTAAACAGGCTAATAGCGTCACAAGAGTCTGCATTTACCTCCCTGGAATGGCAACTCCTTCCTATAAAAGTCCTTTACAAGTGTATATCAGTTAACTGTGCAAGCACAGAATACACATAAAGTACCTGAATGCAATCCTAGAATTCTAATATGTATGTGTAAAGAATATAAACTAAAGTAACATTGCTGAAAGCAGAAAAAGGGAAAGACTAAATATCAGACGAATATTTGGCTGCATCTGGCAGTGGTTACAGTTGTACATTGCAATGATGACATTGGGAAAGATCATAAAGCTCTTAAACAATGTTTTAATCCTGCTCCCCTAATCTAAAGGGCTACCATTGTCTTTTTGTATTGTAGACAGTTGCAATGTATGCAGGATTTTAGATTGTTTAAGGCCTTTGCCAAATCAGTCAGTGTGCAACTTTTAATAGGTTCTTATTTTTAACAACTTGTTATAGAGTTGTACAGCACAGAAACAGATCCTTCAGTCCAACTCGTCCGCACCGACCAGACATCCCAATCTGACCTAATCCCATTTGCCAGCATTTGGCCCATAACCCTCTAAACTCTTCCTATTCATATACCCATCCAGATGCCTTTTAAGTGTTGTAATTGTAACCATCTCCACCACTTCTTCTGGCAGCTCGTTCCATACATACACCAGGTTCTGTGTGAAAGTGTTAGCCCTCAGGTCATACGACATGGAAACAGACCCTTCAGTCCAACCAGTCCACATCAACCATGTTCCCAAACTAAACTAGTCCCACCTGCCTGCGCTTGGCCCATATCCCTCCTGTTCACGAATGTATCCAAATATTTTTTAAACCATGTAACTGTACCTGCACTTTCTCTGGCAGTTCATTTCACATATAAACCATTCTGTGTAACAAAAAGTTGCAAATCTTGTCCTTTTTAAATCTTTCTCCTCTCCCCTTAAAAATATGCCCCCTAGTTTTGAACTCCCACACCCTAGGGAAAAGACCCTTGTCATTCACCTTATCTATGCCCTTCATGATTTTATAAACTTCAATAAGGTCACTACTTAACCTCCTACACTCCAGTGAAAAACAGTCCCAGTCTTTTCAGTCTATTTTCATATCTCAAACACTGAAGCCCCCACAACATCCTTGTAAATTTTTTCTGTACCCTCTCAAGTTTAACAGCATCCTTTCTATAGAAGGGCAACCAGAATTGTACGCAATATTGTAAAAGTGACCTCACCAATGTCCTGTACAGCTGTAACATGGCACCCTAACTCCTCTACTCAATACATTGACCAATGGAGGCAAGCGTGTGAAACGTCTTCTTTAACACTCTGTCCACCTGCGACTCCACTTTCAAGGAACTATGCACCTGCACCTTTAGGTTGTTCGGCAACACTCCCCAGGACGCTACCATGAACCACATAAGTTGTCCCTTGGCTTGTTTTACCAAAATACAGCACCTCTCATTTATCTAAATTAAACTCCGTCTGCCACTCCACAGCCTACTGGCCCATTTGATCAAGGTCCCGTTTTACTCTGTGATAATCTTCTTCACTGCCCACTACACCACCTATTTTGGTATCATCTGCAAACTTACAAAGTATACCTCCTATATTCGCTTCCAAATCATTTACATGAATGATGAAAAGCAGTGGACCAAGCACAAATCCTTGTAGCATGCTGCTGGTCACAGACTTCCAATCCAAAAAGCAACCCTCTGCCACCAACCTCTGTCTCCTAACTTCAAGCTAATTTTGAATCCAATTGGCTAGGTCCCCCAGATTCCATGTGATCTAACCTTGTTAACCAATGTGCCATGCGGAGCCTTGTTGAATGCTTTGCTGAAGTCCATATAGACAATGTTTACTGCTCTGCCTTCATCAATCTTCTTTGTCACCGCTTCTAAAGACTCAATCAAGTTGGTGAGACATGATTTCCCACACACAGAGCCATGCTGACTATCCCTAATCTGTCCTTGACTTTCCAAATGCATGTAAATCCTGTCCATCAGAATCGCCTCCAACAACTTACCCACTTCTTACAACAGAATAAATTGGCATTCATATTTATGACAGGAAAAAAAAACTGGAACAATAAAATCATTGTTTTATCTAAATAGTATGTCTTAAGACTGGATAGCATGGCAAAAGTATCAAGAATTGCTTCCTCTAAATTTCACATGGAGGATAACCTAACTGATACTGAAACACTATATCAGGTTGGCAAAATAATGACTATGTCACAAAATATACCAATTTTACCTGTATTCTTTCCTCAGCCTTCTGTGTGCACAGCATCATGATACTAAATGTCAATGTTGTTATCAATCCACCAAGTAAATGCTGTAAAATTATACTTAGCACAGCTGCACCTAGGACAAATAGAAAATAAATTGAAGTTGAAACTTTATGACATTTTAGTGATGGGTTGCAACATTACACAAGGAAGAAGCAGGATAAGAAACCCCTCTTTTGACATGTTGAAAGTATAGTCAGGAATATTGCCTGCAAGTAAACACCTGGTTCCTCTTTGAGCAGAAGCTAAAAAAAAATTCAAATCTGGTATTTCTTCTGCTGATGTTCCAAAGCAAAAATACCTCCTACTAGCAGTACAAAATCGGGAAGTAAATCAGGAATTTATACAATTACATTCGAACTATAATAAAAATCTGATTTGCATTGTAATATACAGTGCAGGGATTACATTTCAAGAAAATCTAAATGTCCAGCAGCATTTTTAATGTATCATTTGAAATGTAAATATTTAAAATGATCTTTACTTCTGATTAGAGAAATTGACCGACAGATCTAATCTGGTACTAATCATTACAGCACACTGACCATCGGCAATTTTCAATGAATTTCAAAGAATAATATTCCTTTTGGTATTTTACCTTGTTACCATATATTGCACAACTATTTTTCAGCGGTCAAGCACATAGGTCTTTTTGTTTGGAGTTTAGACTACTTTTTAAGGGAAATAGTTTTGTCAAGGTTTTGGAGTAGATCATTGATTAAAGAAATCACAGATGGACAATGTCGATTGTAGGATTCATATTATAGCAATCTGTCATTACCAACAGCAAAATGCATTAATGTGTACTTATTTGTACTGTACTTTGCTGATTACTAAACAGTTTGTATCAAATTTTATCAATCTAAAACATTGCACAACTTGAACAAAAGAACAGCATTTTCAATTAATTTATTTTGCTGGAAAATCTTAAGTAAAGTAGGTGACTGAGGTAACAGAATTGGAATGTGAATGAGGAACAGATAGACAAATAAAGTGAAATAAAAAGTCAAGATGCTACTTGGGAAGCACTTCTGCAAGCATTTATTTTTTGACTTAATACAATGTGCAGCTGGAGGAACATAACAGGTCAGGCAGCATCAGAGGAGCAGGAAAGTCGATGTTTCAGGTTTATACCCTTCATCAGGACAAACGCTTTCTTCTGAGTCCTGATGAAGAGTGTAAACCCGAAACGCCAACTTTCCTGCTCCTCTGATGCTGCCTGACCTGCTGTGTTCCTCCAGCTCCACACGGTAATGACTCTGACTCCAGCATCTAAAGTTCTTGCTATCTCCCTTACTTTTTGACTCTCTCCTCTTCTGGCAGTGTTTATTCATAGTAGGAAACAGTTTCATGGCATCAACTGCTCTCCAGGTAACACAAACAAATTTAAAATTTAAGGATCAAAACTAGAAACTCGAGGAAACTTATTTTGGGCACATGGGGACACACAGAATCACCATGATTAGCGCAAGAATGGCCCAATATTAGGCCTTGGGTTTCACTGATTTAATATGCTGTCGACAGCTAATAGCTAACAGCAATCTGCAACTTGAATTAAGTGAAGGGAGGGAGTGGTGCAATTCATTGGTGGGGTGTACGAGCAGTTCACTTGAAAGATGCATACACATCCCTAACTTTCACTTTGTTGGTATGGTCCAGCAGATACTCCTTCTAAGGGCTATCTATTAGGTTGCAAGTGGAATTCTTTAATGAGTGCAGTCAACATTGGCTACCTTGGGGTGAACAAATTTTGAGCAACAGGGCCTCAAACAGAGGTGAGGTCTCTTGTTTCTGGTATGGACATCACTCACTGATTATTTAGCCTTCACCAGCATAGTGAATGGCACACTTCTGTCCCACAATAACCATGGGCTTGTCACTAGTTTTGGGGGGTGAAGAGGCTTGCATTACATGGCCAAATTTCTAGCCAAAATTTGTTTGAACTTAAGCTTGTACATACTTTGGCACAGAGCCCCTATGCGTGTGTTGGTAATGATTAGGATATGAAACTGTTTTCTGTATATTTCTTTAAAAAAATGTCCTGGATGAGAAAGGGCAAGTAAGATATTACAATAAATTGAGAATTATGTTTTTAAAAATCTGTCATCAAATACAAACAAATAGGTCTCTTCACCACACAGGGCATTTATTTAATTTGAATAGAATAGTCTTTATTGTCAAATGCACTCAGATGAGTGCAGTGAAAAGTCTGTAATGTCGCCTCTCGGCACATCTTAGGTACAGGGTACCTAGGTACCGATACTTTTAGTGGGTACAGATATTTCAATTTGTATTCTGCTTCACTTTAACTAAATCTGAAATAAGATCAAAACAAAACTGGAATAGCTCAGCAGGTCAGTTAACCCTGCAAATTAATAACCTTTTAGAGCTGTTGGAAGGTCATCAAACTGAAATGTTTAATCTGTTCCCCCTCCCTTTAGATGCTGCCTGACCTGTCCAGTTTTCCCGCACTTTCTGTTTGTAATTTATAAATGCAAATGTGTTGCTAGTAGCTCAGAGGAGGTTAACTTAGACTAAGACATGGGAGTGGGTCAGTTGTCCTGTGAAGAAAGGTCATTCAAGCTGGATTTACATCCTCTGGGAGTTTAGAAGAGTAAGGGGCAACCTTTTGAAATGCATAGGCTCCTTCAGAAATGTGGAGTCACACTAACATTCTCACAGTTCTCTTGCAGCAGTGAACCTTTGGGGGAAGGCAAACACGTCCCCTTTTCATTGCAGTCCGTTGCAGTATTCTGAAATGTAAAGATCTAGAATCACAGACAGTTATTTTGACAGCTGCTGCCAAATGATAAATACATAAGGTTAAGGAGCCAGGCGGCTGGGGGTTAGGGTGCCATGTGACACAATGTTAGATGAGTAGGCGATAGGATGCCAGGTAGGTAGGGTACCAGGGTCGAGTCTGGTGGCTGGGAGGTGGAGCAGTGTCGGGGGAGTTGGATCAGGTAGAACAATGGGGGTGGAGAGGGGGAATCTGGGGTACAGAAGGTGTAAAGTGTGGACAGGGGAGTGTACAGCAGTGGAGAAAGGGGCTGTCGCGTCCTTGTGGTGTTGGATCAGGGTATGGAGGTGTAAGTGGTCGGGGGGAGGTGTAGTTGAGGTGGTGCAAAGGAGTCATTTGGATATTTACTCAGGGATTAGACTATGTATTTAACAGTCTAATATTTCATGTAACTATTTATTTGATTGAATCAGACCCCTCCAAATTCCCTAATTTTAATTGGAGGATTCTTGGTTTAGAGGAATTATCAGGATAATCTTCAATTTCACAGGCAATTCCTTTGTGGTGTGTTACAATGGGCATTCTGCACTGTCCCCATGAGAAAGTCCCAACTACGCTGGAATAATGACTGTTTGACCAGCGCAAATTCCACATTAAATCCTGAGGGGTTTTAACAGGGTGGATGTGAAGAGGATATTCCCTCGTGACAGATGTACAACTCGGAGTCACTGTTTAAAAACTAAGGAATTGCCCAGACAAGGCAGAGGTAAGGAGAAAAAAGGAAAGAACTACGGATGGTGGAGATCCAAAACCAAAACAGAAAGTGCTGGAGAAACTCAGCAGGTCTGGTAGCATCCATGGAGAGAAAATCAGAGTTAACATTTTGAGTCCAGTGGCCCATCATCAGGTAAGGAGAACAGGTTTTCTCACGAGGGTCATAAATGTTTGGAACTTTCTTCCTTAAAAGGCCGTGGAAGCAGAGTTGCTGAATATTTTTAAGGCAAAGACAGATTCTTGAGAAACAAGGGGGTTGGCTGGGGTAGGCAGGAATACGGAGTAATCAAATCAACAATCAAATCAAAACAATCTTATTGGAAGACACAATAAGATTGAGAGGCTGAGTGACCTACTACTGCTCCTAATTTGCTTATTTGTATGTTTGTTTAACATTTCACACTTTGACTATGTAATTGCCTCTTTTAACCAGTTTGAAATTCATGCAAGTTCTTCAAAGCTTTTGTGAAAAGTGTCTAGATTTCAGTTTCTAGTAACATTAACTAAAACATCGTCACGCAGCTCAGACATGTCACAGGCTGATTCCTGGGTTCTGTGTGAGGTTAGCTATTCTCAGCTGAATTCCCAGGAGGAGTCCTATTCGTGGCTTCTGTGCAGTTCTGTTATAAAATAGTGAAGTGGCCAGGGATATCATTTCAATGACATCTATGATATATATCCCAGGCTGCTGTAGAACGCAAGGGGCTCTGACATTAATTTTCAAATCATCTCTGGCCACAAATGGGGTGGCAGAGGTCTAACTTTAGTAAGCGGTCTACCGTGCAGAATCTTGTCAAACACCTTGCTAAAGTCCACATAAACAACATCAACCACTCTATCCTCATCTATCTTCTTGGTCATGTCCTCAAAAAATTCAATCAAGTTTGTGAGGTATGATTTCCTGTGCACAAAACCATGCTGACTATCCGTCATCAACCCTTGCTTTTCCAAATACAAGTAAATTCTGTTTCTCAGAATGCCCTCCAACAACTTAGCCATACTCAAGGAATACTCAACCTCACAGACACCATCCCAGATACCACTATCACCATCCCTGGATATGTCCTGTCCAACCAGTAGGTGATGCCCTGTAGAGGCGGTGGCATAGCGCTGTACAATCGGGGTGAATTACCCAGGGAATTCTTAACATTGACTCTGGACACCATGAAGCCTCATGGCACCAGGTCAAACATGGCAAGAATAATTCTTGCAGAATACCACATACAGTACTCGCTCAGCTGATGACTCAATGCTCTTCCATGCTGAACAATACTTTGAGGAAACACTGCTGGGGGATTTATATAACTACCACCAATAGTAGCTCAGCAGCAGTACAAATGGTCCAGCTGGTCAAGTCCTAAAGGACATACCTACTAGACTGGGTCTATGGCAGGTGGTTAGAGAACCAACAAGAAGGAAAAACGTACTTGACCTCATCCTTACCAACCTGCTAGCTGCAGGTGCATATGGATAAGTGTCGATAAGGGTGACTACTGCATAGTCCTTGTGCAGACAAAGACCCACCTTCACATTGATGACAGCTTACATCATGTTGTGTAGTA